TAGTATATATAACATAATACATGGTATTATGTTATATATTATAGTGTCTAATATTTTATAACATAACGTTGCTATAAAATATTTGTATAAGATGTATTAGATTATGTATTATTTTATATATTACGTATTATATTGTGAATTGATAAATTTTCACTACTAAAATCTCTTTTTGGTTTGGTTAGGGTAAGAACAGTTTGTTAGGTTTGGATTTATTTGTTTGGTTTGAATTTGTTCCCAACAACTTCAAAGTTCAGGTTTGGTTTGGTAACAAGTAAAGTTCGAGATTCAGTTCGAGGTTCAGTTCAACTGTAGGTAAGGTTCTAGTTTGGTTCAGGATCAGTTTGTTTCCCACCTCTATTTAAAATATATAAATACTCATAAATACTTTTGCAGCAGGAAGTCGTAAATTATCCGGCCTTCTACTAGATAGTTTTTGTATTTTCATTAATTTTTTTGTTTATCTAAATGTTAATATAACTTTTTATATTTAAATTTTTCTAATTATTTTAAACCTTGCTTATGGAAAAATGTGGCAGAATTATCGTTTAATTCACCTTGCTGTGCATTAAGACTCCCAAATGAATAGAAATAAAATGTGGGATGAAATTATTTTTGAATTTAGAAACAAATGTTCAACTAATTATAAAATAGCAATAGTACAATTATAACAATTATATAAAAACACACACTAATTATTTAAATTTTAAATTGTTTCAAAAATACAAAACATAACTTTGTTTTTAATTTTTGCATATGAAAAAACAATTAATCATACTAATATAATTAAAATTTTGTCAATATGAGTATTTTTCATAAACAATTGAAAACTAAATACAATTATTTTTCATTATAATAACTAGTATATTACCAATAATTTTTAGTAATAATTAGTATTTTACCAACATTACGACTGATTTAACAAGCAATTTATGTTATGTAACAATAAAATATTTTGTCCAATACTGACTTTGTTTTGTGGCCAAAATTATAAACAGTTACATTTAATTATGCAAACTAATAATATACTAGCACAAAGTTGAACACTTCGAATCAATGATTTGTTAAAAAATTTAACTTGTGGAATAAAAGATAAAGCAAAGAGATATCATTTGTGAATCATTTTTAGAACAAATTAAAGAAAAAAATTTCAAATAAATACCATTCTACGATAAATAGAAATAGGCCCACAGAGGATTCCCGCATAGCCGCTGAGGCCAAAACACACCAAAAACCTTTATTTTTTTAAATTTTCGGCAGTGTTTGCAATGCAAAATATCACAAAGATACCACACAAATTGTTAGCTACTTTCATGTCACATGAAATTAGCCAACATTAGCAAGACACATTTTTAACTTAAATGAGGCTCAATAGTGTCCTAATATGATCATATATTTCAGACATCCCCTCTACTGCAGCAATAATCAGCTATTTTATTATACCACCGTCTTGGGCAGAAGAGCTTGATTGTAGACATGAGTATTTTTTTCCTGGAGCTTGTGTCAATTACGCTAAAAGAAATTTTCAAGAATGAACCACCTCTATCAATTCTAAATTTGACTAAATGATGTGATGTGAATCTCCTTTTTTTCTGATTCAAATTCAAATTCTTGCAGTGAACAACTTTCAGAACTTGGTTTTATACTTTGTCTTGAATGACAGCAGTAGATTGTCAAGGTTGTCAACAGAGGTTATGAAGCTTTTGTCTTACATTTGCCTCTGCAGCTCTTTTTTTCATTAATTTTTTATAGCTAATGCAAGCCTTTTCACACAAATATTGGAAAGATTTCAACTATTTTAAATTTGGACCAATGTTTCAGCAATAAATAACTGCTGCTTGTACATGAATGTTTTGAAAAAACTTGGAAAAATTTATCTTTCCTTGACAGTAACTCCTGGAGAAGCATCCTTTTTAGAGACCAAATCAGCTGCTATTTGTTTAAAATATGGTCATCTATAACAAGTTTCAAAAATGAGAAGATGCCCTCTTGCAAGTACTTACAAACTAAGGTTGGATCTTTTTCAGCTGGTTAGAATGATGAAGGATTAGGACTGGAAACTTTGATATACTCAGTTTTCAAGTCAGACTTGTATTTTGGTTCAATATGTCAAGCTCAATGTAGCAGATCTACTTTGAAGTTTGATTTGATTTTGGCAAATGTACACTAGCAAGCACCATATTGTAGATGACTTAATGATGAATTTCTACAAGTTTCCATTAATACTAACAGTATCAAATTGCTGTAGTTGCTTCTACATGGAACGCAAAGGTCAGCTGGAATTTTCTAAAAATTTTAGCTAAAAAAATGTTAAAGGTAAATTTTTACTAAAAGACAACAATTTGCAACTCAGACAAATCAATTAAAAATTTTAAATCTCTCAAACCTACTAGGGAAACCTAAAATGCCTAGAAACAATTTACATAGTTACCAAAGTTAAGTGACTTTTTCAAAATGTTAAAGTTATAAACTAAACTCATATTGTTGCAGATATGCATTTGAATGACTGGACCTATAACTCATTTTTGCAAATAACCCATATAAGAAAGGAACTTAAAGCTAACCCTTTAAAAAAATGTTTAAAAATAAAATGTGTATATAATAATTTAAATATTGCGGTTCAAATGGTTATATAGTTTCTTTATGAGCTGTCAGTCCACAATTAGTATCAGAGCTAGAATTTTTTCTGGTGTATAATACACAATATAGTAGTTTGGCTTGTTATATTCTGATAACTGTAAAGCATTATTAGCTACTCTTTCCCGATAAACTTGGTGCAAACCTGATGAAAAAAGTTGTTCTGAAGATAAAAATGAAACAACTAACTAGAATTATTAAAATTCACACAGGTTCTGCCAGATATTACAGTTGGGATAAGAGCAGATATACTTTCATCAGTGGAAGTAGTAAATAGAACCACATCATTTTGTAGCCAATGTTTGTTTTTCTTCAAATTAAACTTTAAAGTTTCTGTGTATATTCACATTTGGCAAAGATGCATCATAAAAGTTAATGAATTATTATTTAGAGTTATATACATGCCATTTACAATTGCACACAAAATAAGATCAACTAACTTTAAGTTTACTTGTATAATACAAGAATAAATATGAGTATATTTCATATTTTAACTATAATATCTACAATAATATATACAAACATCTACATAGGTAGCTAAATTTGATCCTGTAATTATCAAAAAAGAATCTGTGAGTGTGTGCATTTGTGTACATCAATTTTTAATGATTATAAAAGGTTCATTTTTGTATTTTGGTAATAACTATTGCTGTTGTAAAGCAGGGGTAAAATGCTTGATTTGCAATATAGAGAGGTTTAACCAAAAAATATGCATCTGGAAATTATATAATGACCTTGATTCTGTGTGTGCCAGAAGTTCATGTATCTTTTCCATACATTTTTATATAAACTTTAAAAGTGTCATTAGCTTATTATCATTTTTTAAATATGTTGCTTAGTGGCATCAACACGCAGTAGCATTGGTAAAGTTATACCTACTCAAAATAAATATAGTTAAACAATCAAATGATAAAATATTATACCTTGTTTTATACTTGTTCTTATATAGGGACAATATCTGGTACTAATGAATGTTATATTATATATCTTTTCCAAATAATTATAAAGTACCAATTATAATATTTCTATATAACTTATCTAATTATATAATTATTATATACTTAAATTTTTAAGGTGTCATTTACTTATTTCCTTTTTTATTTTCAACTTTTTAATGACATCAACCCTTAGTAGCAATCATAAGGTTATGTCTTTTTAAAATAATTATAAATGACCAATCAAAAGATAATGTTATACCTTTTTTATTTTCTGTTCTTATATAGCGACAAAATCTGGTTCAAATGAATGTTATATATTATATCTTTTTAAAATATTATTAAATGACAAATCATTATGTATTTTGTCTAATCATAAGATAATTCAATATCTAAATTTATTTATTGGCTTATTATTCTTTCATTTTGCATTTCTTTACTGACATCAACACCTAGTTGGATTGGTACTGTTATATCTTTTCAAAATAATTATAAATGATCAATGTAATGTTTTTATTAAAAAACCACAGATAATTTGAAGATTTTTTTTGTTTATTATCTTCATTATTTTGTAATCTTCAGTGTCAACATGTTAATAATATAATAAGGCATATATTTTTAAAATGGTATGATACCTAGGTAGTTATTGAACAAGAATTGATGTAGAGATATTTATTTAAGCTATCAATGAAATAAACAATATACTATTGTTACATAAGTAATAAACTTACAGCAAGAGAGTATTTAGACATTAGAAACATTTTCACAGGTTTTATATAAGTTTGTTGCACCTGCATTATATTGTTTTCTGCTTCAAATGATAAATGCTGGATCTTCTTGACTCTACTGGTGAGGTTTTGTGGCTTCTTTCATTGACTATGCATTATTCCTGTTATCTTCTAACATAAAGCTTCAAAATTCAGTTTAATGGTTCTGAGGTTGGCTGGTAGTAAGGGTTCTGAAATTTGTGGTAGCTATCAGAGAAGTTTATTTCACCAACAGAGGTAAAATACTAGAGTATTATGAGTGCCATGTTGTGTATGAGTGGTGTTCCTGTTAGTGCTTTTGGTGTACACTGTTGAAGTCACATTTATAAGGTCCTTTGTTACAACTAAAATTCAAACTGTGGGGAAGCGTCATTCAAGCTGTGGGGAAGCATCATTCAAGCTGTGGGAAGCATCATTAATCAAGATTCATTAACCAGACTTTCAGAGTATAATGTAAAATGTTTAAATAATTACATTTCTTGCCATAAAGATCTAGCAAATGATAACTTTTTAGACTAAGGAACAAATGAACAGCTTAATTTTTATAATAGTTTTATTTTTTTACTAAAAATCTTGAGATCTAATTAAATCATAAAAATTATTTATTAAAAAAAAAAAGTATGAGTATTGTAACCAAAATAATTTAAATTGTGAATAGTGATACCTTCAAACAATTTAGATTTAAGTAGCATGTTCGGATATTCACCGATATCTAACTGGCCACAGGCACCACTCTAAATATAAAAATGAATATATTGTGAAGATATTATTTATATTTTAATAACAACTGTTAGTTTACATTCTAGAATTAACTTGGTCTTCCTGTCCTCATCAAAAGAATATTATTCTATAATCAATACTACATGATATGAAAATAATTAGTTTGATGTTGCAGATTTGAAGATTTGAAGATGACCTTGATTTTAATGATTTTTCGATGTATGAGGCCTAGAGTTTAAAGACTAAACAGTTTATTATCAGAAAAAAAAGGTCTTGATGTTTTTGCAAATTTTTGCACTAGTTATTTAGTTTATTGCACTCTCACATTTTATTTTTCACTCTAATTTATTATTGTGCTGTACCCATTCCAATTAAACTTTTTTTATTAGAATGGAAGATTTGTTTTGTTGTATTTTTTTATGCATTGCATGTGTTTTGTAGCTGAACACATACATCCATGTGCTATTGTAGCAGAACACATGTTTTGTTCTATATTTTTATGTTGTAAGTTTTCCCCCCTCTGCTGTCCACTTTTAAAAAAACTATTTAACATTAAACACCGATTTTATACTAAATATGAAAATGTAATGTTTCAATTAAACATATTTTGTATCAACTTTGATACCATTATAATTCGTCACTATGTATCAGATGATATAAGTAAATAAAAGTAAAACTTAAGAATCAACTTATTTATTTCATTATTATCAAGAATTACTAAATTTTAAAAACAATATGCAAACCTTGAGCCAAAGAAAATTTTTACTATGAATTTAGTTATTTTTTTTTAAAATAATTTTATATTTATATAATTTGTAATTATTTTTTTTTTGTACATCTGCAGGTAAAATAGCATATATAAAAAAATATTCAGTCTGATATGAGCAATATCAAATTGAGAAAAATTGACTAGATGTTTGATAAAATTGACTAGATGTTTGATAAAATTGTTGGGAAACCATTACCTATCCTTGAAGCTAAGATATTTTTTCAATTACTAACAAAGGGAGAGGTTTAATACCATTATCTATATCTTACACAGTTTTGATTTTAAACTAACTGGTAAAAAAGAAGTTGCATCTGTAGTTTGCAAAAAAGTGAATATATTTTGGAAAAGGGCAGAAATTCAAACAACACAGAAATAAAAAATACTGTTAGAATGATACTGCATCTAACACATTTCAGAGAGAACTTGTAAAATGTAAAAAAAAAAGTTATACGACTCAACTTCTGATTTTTACTTGTCGTCTCTGCTTCATCAAATGCAGAAGATTTGATTAGATAAGACACCTCTTGTGGCATCAACAGTCAATATCAGATTTAAATTTTGGGACTGGAAACTTTGATATACTCAGTTTTCAAGTCAGACTTGTATTTTGGTTCAATATGTCAAGCTCAATGTAGCAGATCTACTTTGAAGTTTGATTTGATTTTGGCAAATGTACACTAGCAAGCACCATATTGTAGTAAAGTAAACAGAAAGGTCTCTAAGGTAAATGGTAAAATAGAACAATTGGCTATTGTTGTAACAGGAAAACCAAGTGTACCTGAAGGAAAATTGTTTTGTATGTTCAGGATTCCTGATACAACTGAACAAAGTAAGGAAACAGCAACCATAGATGTTGTAAAGACCTGGTAACTAGAAAAAACACTTGTAGCAATGATTTTTGACACAATCTATCAAATTCAGGTAGGATAAGTAATTCTGCAAAGTTAATTAAAAAACACTTTAATAAAAAGTCACTATGGTGTGGCTGCAGACACCACATCTTAAAAAGAGTTTTGTTATCTGTTTTCATTACAAATTTTAGAGAATCTCTAAATTAAGCCATTTAGACACTTTAAAAATGAAATATGGTCTAACTTTCATAAAGTTCTAAACTTTTAGAAAAAATTAAAATTAAAAAACCAGTGTTAAAAAGCAAAAGTAATAATTTTTTTTCTTAACCAGAAGTCTCAAAAAATATCGAGAAATGATTATCAAGAATGTTGCAAACTTGCTTTACAATTGCATTTTATTGGCATCATTGGTATTTAACCAAAGCAATGATAAATTAATTCTTAAAAGTATAAGAGAAAACTGGGAACATGGCTTTTTGCAATTTCCTCTTTTGAAACCAAGAACTTGTTTAACTAATTTAGTTAGACCAAAATCAAGCAACATTCTAAATTTATTTGGATATTTGAACAAAAATGGTGGTTGAATAGCCCAAGGCCGAAAAGTTTTGAAAAACTAACACTAATTTTTAACTTAGGTTTGAGCATATTAAATTATTGAAACTTGTAAATGATACAGCAGAAAGAGATGTCAAGATACCCAAGATGAAAAGCAGAAAGAATTTCTTTTACATGTAGTAGAAAAGTTTTAATATTACTTTTTTTATATTACTTTATACCTTTCAAATATATATACTTTTTGTCATAATTTTTCAAAAAATTACTTTAATTTCAAATTTCTTTGTACTAAGTCCCAGTTTAGTCCTAGTAAGTTAATATTTTCAATTTATACCATATTATTTATTTTCTTGATTGCCATAAAAATAAAATTTAATAATAAATTTTAAAATTTTTTATCATGTAAATCTTTTTTGTTTTAATTATGTATAATTCTAAAAATTGTAGAAAAGAGAAAGAGAAGCAACATTACAACGATGTCAATATTACAAGAATGCTGTCCATCTAGTAAAACTTTTATAATACAATTGGAAAGGAAGGATTCAATAATCTTAAAGATGTTACTAGATACATCGTAAGAAGAAAGCTTATGGAGAAGACCAGCATGCCAAACTATATCATAAGGTACAAATCTAAGTTAGCATGAACAAAAAAGCTGTCATCATCTTTCTTTACCATTACAAAATTACCAAAGTTTATAAACCAATTATTTTCTATTGTCTATTATTGAAATAAAGAGACCATATAAAGAATAAGTATAGAAATGGTTAGTGTGGAACAGATTTAACTCACAGGTCTGAACAGCTAGTTTAAATAAAAAATTCATTTTTCTATTTTCAATTCAATTATTTAGAACTTAAAAAAAAGCATTCAGTTTTCCATTTTTCATTTATTTGAAACAGCAAATAAAATTAAGTTTTAAAATTGCGCATGGCAGCCAAGAATATTAGACAGGGAGATTGAGTACATACTTACTGGCGTTTTTTTTTTAGCAAGAGCATTTTAAATGCAAACTTAAGAAAATATTGCTGAAGAGAACTTATATAGAAAGCTTTATTATGCTTTTTTTAATTAAAGATATTTTTGTTATACTTGCTTACCGTTTTGAATTAGATTATTGTAATGTTTAATGTTATAATAGTTTTTAGTGTTGTTCCTGGTGTAACTTTGTTGAACTGTTTTTTACTTTAGAATATTGTTTAGAATGTACTTTTATATATATATATATATATATATATATATATATATATATATATATATATATATATATATATATATATATATATATATATATATATATATATATATATATATATATATATATATATATATATATATTTATTTGCATTCACTCCCAACAAGGCTGCAAGCAACCACTATCAAGTTGGGAGTTACTAGGAAAAAAAAGAACAGAGTTATAGAGCAAGGAAACGGTTGACAGAAGACTTGAAAAGCTGAAGGTTGTATGAGTCAGGAAAACATGAAGATGGGAGAGAATTCCAAAGGATTGAAGTGCGGGGAAAAAAACTAGATGAATAAAAGTTTTTAGAGCATGCAGGGACAGATACAGTAAACGAATGAGACTCAGCTGAATGACGAGTAAAATGAGAATGAATTTTAGTTGATGGAACTAGAGATGATAACTCCTTTGAGCAGTGATCATGATAGTATTTGTAGAAAAGAGAAAGAGATGCAACTTTACGACAATGGGAAAGAGGTTCAAGCTTAGCAGATAGTCCAGGTCCAACAACATTTACAATGCGTTTTTGGACCTTGTCAAGAAGAGAAAGTGAATCGTTAGAAGAACCAGCCCAAATATGACAACAGTATTCCATACAGGGACGAATAAGAGATTTGTAGAGGTAGAGAATGGAATCAGAAGTAAGGAAATGGCGAGCACGATAAAGAGAAGCAACCTTAGCAGAAGCTAATTTAGCAATCGATTGTATATATGGTTTCCATGAAAGGTCAGTAGTAAGCGATAATCCAAGAAGACGTAAAGAGGACGACTCAGTAAGAAATATATATATATATATATATATTTAAGTTGATTAAGGTGCCCCAAGAAGTCCTTACGGTCTTATCACAGAGCACCGCAGAAGAGCATTTAATAGGAAGTAAGATTTGAACCACGGATCTTACGTTATGCATATATATATATATATATATATATATATATATATATATATATATATATATATATATATATATATATATGCGTAACGTAACAGCCGGTATATATATATATATATATACATATATATATATATATATATACCAGCTGCTCATATATATATATATATATATATATATATATATATATATATATATATATATATATATATATATATATATATATATATATATATATACTATAGCATATAAAGATAACAAATTGTTACTATTTTTACCTATCTTTATAGCATACAGTGTTTTTAGAAAAAAAAAAAAAACAAAGAATAATAAAATAAAAGATTGCTGGCCCATGCCAAACCCTCAGTCGATGTAGCCTACCCATTTTAACCAAATTTTTGTTCAGTGATTTTATTTTGAATTTTGAATAGCAGTTAAATATCAGATTGCTTGAGTACCAGTAGTATCAAGAATCATAGCACATTTTAATTAAGACATATTCTAAATTGTCAAATTATATTTTTATAACTTTTAAAATTTCTAAAGTTTATAACTATTTACAGAGAAAACCTCAGAAATAGCCATGTTGTTGCACATAGGTTGAAACAAAATAACTTTCCTAGAGAATCACAGGACTTATTTTTATCTAAATACATCCTTAATCAGAAAAAATATTTATTTCCAATAAACAAATAAATATAGAAAAACTTACCACATTAAAATATGGCTTTACGCATACACGAACCATATCCTGTGAACCCTTTTTTGTTTTTTTAATTAATATTGATTGCCAAAGGTCACGTGTTATCACTCCAACAACAGTAGGTCCAACGAAGGGACCATACATATCTCCTAAACAAATAAAAACAACTATATTAATTAAAGAATGTAATAACATTCACACAATAACTGATAAAAACTAACAGTAGTAGTAAACAGATGTTGTGCGGAAAACATCAGATACAATTAAAAATCATTTGACTTTGGAAATCATTTGATCTGACACAGTTGATATTATATCAACTATACCTACTTATTATTGTTATGATTATTTTTATCAATTTTAAGTAATTTACTTTGAAAAAGGTTTTAAGCAACCACTATTAGTAAGAATTAACTGAAAACAAAGAATGTAGCCAAGAGCAAGAAAACAATATTGTTTTGTTCAAATTACAAACAGCCACTGCAAGCCTGAAGCAAGAGAGAGATTACACTTAATTTCAGCTGCAAGCACACTTAAGCTAACCCTTGCTTTGCCAACAGTGTTTTAGTCTTGATGTTAAAGCACATAAAAGAGTAGATAGAGGATCAAACCTGATCAGAACAAATAGATAAATTGATACAAAAGTATAGGCCCAGACCAAGCATGTGACTATTAGAGTCTTTGCAAATCAAAGAATATATAATATAATAACAGCCATCAACACTGAGATCGGAAGATGAAACAGCTAAACTAATTAAAATTAGTTGTACAAAGAGCAAGTAGATCTCGTGAATTTTCTAAATTTAACAAGGTAAAAATCAACCGATAAAAAGTTACTTCAAAGACTTTAAATATTTGTAAAAGATGTATATATACATATACATTTACATGTATATATATATATATATATATATATACACAGTACCTATTCAAATTATTAGACTCAAAAGAGAAATGTCCAGATTTTGTTAGTTTTTTGGATTTTCTTTGATAGGTAGTGATCAATGATGTTTAATTTTTGTTGTTTATGTGCAATTTGACTTCCTGTCATTCATTTTTTGTTTTTAATTAGAAAAGTTTATAAAAAATACTTAATTTTGAAAAATATTTTCAACTTGATTTTGTCTGTCATAACTCAATTTATATACATCTTCTTTAGGAACCTAAATTATTTTAGACTGCCTTTACAATTTAAATAATAAAATTTCAATTGTTTTTAAGTTGTTTTTTTTAATTGTGCAGTCATATAATAAATTATTGTTGGAGTTATTTTAGGATTAATATTGAGTAAATCTAGTGATGTTTTCTCTAGTAAATATGCAAAAGTAACTGTCCTTCTGCAAGAAACAAGTTACATCCAAAGAAATATTGCCAAAGTTGTTAAAATTATCATGGCTACAGTCAGCAACAAATTCTAAATTTAAATGGGTGTCAAATTAGAAGCGCAGAAAACAGAGTCCTGTGGCAGAAAAAGAGTTACAAATGCTAAAGATCACAGAAAAAAAAAAAAAGTTATAAATAGAACAAAATTGTAAGATACCATCAATAAAACTGAAAATTGTTTTAAAAGACCAAGGAAATTCACTTGAATCTTAAAAAAGGAGAAGTTATAAATTCGGAAATAAGTTTAAAAAGCTACTGAAGAAGCCGTAACTTATGCCTGCAATGATTAAAAAATGTCTTGCATGGGCTAAAAAGCACTCCTCTTTTTTTCAAGATGACTAGAATAAGGTAAATTTTCCATTAGTTTTCTCCTGAAACATAAGCAATTAATATTTTAATATTACAAATTTTTAGAAGATGTTTTTGCATTAATATCTTATCCCAATTCATTTTATTAATATTTGAAATATTTAAAACATCAATATTTATTGCTTTAGTCAGGTTGTATACAGCAATGAATCTGCCTTTAAGACTTTGGAAGAAAAAGCCACATTTGTCTGTTGCAGACCAAAAGAACAACAAAGCCAAAATGCACTGTAAACACTGTAAAGCACCCAGGATTTATAATGGTTTAGTCATGCATATCGAGCAGGGGTATCAGTCAAAGTCTTTACATTGTACATGGGATGACGAAACAAGATAGTACAAGACTGTCTGACAGACTAGTTTGATTCAACAGATACAAGAGTGGTTTCCTAATGGTAAAAAAAGTTGCTTTCATGCAAAATAGTGCTCTTTACTGTACTGCAAAATCCATCAAGACTTTTCTTGCTAATAAGAGTAATAAACTAATTGATTGGTCTGGAAATTCTCCAGATATGAACCCTATTGTAAATCTGTGGGTGGTTGTAACATGCAAAGTGCTGACTTTGCATTAAACAAGTAAACAGAAACTCACAAAACGACTAATCAAAATATGGCATCGAGATCCAGATGTTAAAGCATTGACCTCAAAGTGAGGTAATAGTATGCCAAGGCATATCAAAGCTCTTTCAAAAGGAGTCAAAAGGAATCATCACCAAGTATTGTGTATAAGTGTTGCATCACCAAGTTTCATAATATTCTTTTTATATTTTATAAGTTGTAATTGCTTTTAGTGAGTTTTAGACACACCAAAAAGGCAAAAAGTTAAAAATTGAGTTTGAGTCTAATAATTTGAGTAGGTACTGTATATATATATATATATATATATATATATATATATATATATATATATATATATATATATATATATATATATATATATATATATATATAATATTCGTAATAGATAAAATCATAGTCATAAGAAATAGATAGTCTGGTCACTCGGGCTGTATTATGTGATTTTTCTAATATTTATCAAAAACACTTGAAAACTGTTGAACAGCCAGGAACAAAGTGCACAAACACAGGGGAAAGGGACAAAAAGTTCAATGATGAACTTGATATTGAAATGTTTTTTTCTTTAGATAATGCTTTTCTTTTTGTAGATGATAATTCAAATAAAGATATAGATGCATTAGTGTTGGAGTTGTCTAATGAACCTGTAAAAAGCACATTTCTTGCACAATTTGCTCTAAAAAGTGTATATCTCAAAGAGGGCTTACAAGGCATACAAACTTAAAACATCAAAGTATTTCTTTGGATTTAACATTACAATATCCTAAACCACTTATTCTACTTAGCGAATTTAAAAAACTGCTTAATAAAAGCATAAATACCTTAATTGACAATGAATGATATCCTGATTTGAATAGAAATTAGTTAAAAATCATGCAATGCTATTAGAAACTTCACAAGCCCTATCTCTATTAGAGGCAACAATAGCTAGTTTTAAAGCAAATGAGCGTTACTTACAAACTTATTTTACAATAATTCTTTTGTAAATTTAAATGATTTATCATCTTTTGAACTTTGAGATCAGAGATAAAGAAATTATCTTGTATTTTAGAGATAAAGAAATTATCTTGTATCTAAATGGTTATGTATTCAGTAAATTTTATTGCAGAGTTTGCAGTTCGCGGGTATGGCAGCAAAATTTAAGCACAGACTGGCTTTCACTTCTTAACAGTAGTAAAATAAAATATTTTGTAAAAATCCTGAAACATCCACTGATTCTTACCAAAAATTTGTAACACTAAATATTGAGGTGGTTTGCAAAAAGCGTCTCCTCCAGTTTTAGAAATCTTTACAAAAGTTGAAGTTCTCTTTCACCAACTAAGTAATGGTTTTGTAAAAAAACTTATTCAGAACTGACTGTAACCGAAATTTTAAAAACAGTGTTGTTATGGCAAGCATATCTGAACTTCATAGTCTTTGCACAAATCAAGTATCAAAAGAACTGTCTTTAAACTTACTTTATCATCTTGTTACACTTTATTTTAGAGTAAGATCTTCTTCATATGCAAAAGAAAAACTAAGCATCCGCAAACTTAAAGAGAATCAAAGTCAAAATCACTTCATTCAAAAATGAAATTTTTTTAAAATTGGATTCGAATAAATGGTTTAATGGAACATCACATTCAAAAATATTTTCATAGCCACAAATTTCACAAAAGTATACTTGGCGTAGAAACTCTGTTATTTATTTTTCATAAAAAACATTTTTGAAAAAATGTTTTGTATTTGTTTGTAAAGTCCTTAAGACTTTAACATCAAAGGACCCTTATTAAAATGCAGTAAAAAACTATAATTACTAATAATTACTCATAGACTCCAGATTTTATATATGTGTATATATATATATATATATATATATATATATATATACATATATATATATATATATATACAAATATACATATATATGTATTATAAAAATATATACAAATATATACAAATATATATATATATATATATATATATATATATATATATATATATATATATATATATATATATATTTATATATATATATATATACAAATATACATATATATGTATGTTGTTGTTTCATTAAAATCAGAACTTGTTATTTTCAGTGATACTACCACTAGGAAGATTGCCATCTAAGGCTAAGGAGCTCCTACCTTGGTAAGGTTACCCTACTATTAATAATATATATATATATATATATATATATATATATATATATATATATATATATATATATATATATATATATATATATATATATATATATATATATATATGCTATCCTCAAACTCATGTTAAATTAAAACTTTAAATGAAATTAGGACTAAAAATATCGAAATCAGAAAACAAACATTCTACAAAACAAACATTCTACAAAAAACTATTTAGAATTTATATTTAAAAATGTTTTTTCATATATGAAAAAAAATTCTAGTCCTCTCTTGTATTAACCATGTGAGATTATATATATATATATATATATATATATATATATATATATATATATATATATATATATATATATATATATATATGTATATATATATATATATATATATATATATATATATATATATATATATATATATATATATATATATATATATATATATATATATATATATATATATATATATATATATATATATATATATATGTATATATATATATATATATATATATATATATATATATATATATATATATATATATATAAAGACCGCTCTGAACTCAATTGGGTCAAGATTAAATTATATTAAATAAATTTCTTATTTTACAGATAATGTAAACATGCTCAGAGCAGGAATTGAACCAGGGATCTAATTCTTCCAATGCAAGCATTCTAACCTCTACACATATAAAGGCTCAGAGGACAGCAATTTTAAGGAGCTTTTTTCAAATTTTAGAGGTTTTTAAACCAAATTTGAGGAGTCGATAATCTAATACCTAATAATCAAATTTTTTTTAATTATGGTGTCCTAGTTATAGGTTTTTAGAAAAAAACATTTTTTTATATATCCAGTAGTATGATAAATTGATGAGCTTTAAGAAATTTACCCAGTATCACCCCTGATTACGCCCCTGGTCCCAAATACAATTTCACTGTTATCAGAGGTTCTATAAAAAATCCTAATATTTAATTAATATCCTTATTAGAGGTTCTATAAAAAGCATATTAGGTGCTTGTTTACATTGTAACAAAAGTAAAACAAGCAAAAAATAAAAGTTGGTAAAATAAACTCTTTTTATTATTTTAACAATGAATTTCTCAATTAACTGATCTATACTTTATGCCATTTAATATTTTTAATTTTTATGGCTATTTTCATAAAATAGCTGTTTTTAAACAAATTAATGTATTTGTTTTCAGCAGTAATATGAGACATAAGACAATTTTTTTTATTAAATTACTTGAACAATCAACTTTATTTATCAACAGATTTTTCAGAGCAAGTCCATTTTCTGTTTGCTATTCGTGTCATAATCTCCTTCATTGGCATTTTGTTTTAATTCATTAAGATTCAGACAGTTACCCGCAATTGGGTGAAATATATGTTGATTTTAAATAACATTATCATTGAATCCAAAATCAAACAAGGAAGGACTATCTTTTTTTCTAACAATTGACTGTTGTTGCCCGAAGTAATTTTCTAAAGGATCCTGATGAAAACCTTTCAGTTAATACATAACTTAAATTGTTATTAATTAAAAATTTGACAAGTTCAACAACAGAATTAACTGTGATTTTTAAACTTTCATTGGTTTGCTAAGTAATAAACGTATTACTTCTATCACTTTTTGAAAAATTAGCGGGTCTTGATTCAATCGAAAAAAGCCAATAAGAAAGATATTTTAAAATATTTTCTTTTAGCCACATCGAACATCATTTGTATCAGAAAATGGTTTCAATATCGAGTTGCGTTTTAATATAGAATCATTGGTATTACATACATTTAAAACAAGTAGACAAAGCAAGTTTGTCTGCCTGTTTTAAAGTTGCAAAATTGTTTGTCCCAAACAAAATTTTCTTGAATTTTCATTTCATCAAGAACAAGTACAATAAACTTTTCTTGAGGTAAAAAATGTTCGATTTTATCTTTTAATTATTTGATTATATTTTTATTAAATCCTTTGACTTCATATAATCTTTATAGTCACATAATTGCCTACGACTTGGTAAGACTAAGAAACCAAAATTATTTTTCTTTGGATGAACCCCTTGCTTTGAGCTTTTTAAACATTTCTGCTTCTCTTCCCAAAACAGGCTCAGAATTGAAAAATCTTGCTTTTATCAGCTCCTGCCATTGTTTGAGCTAAATCACTTTCAATATCTTTATATATAGCTAGTGATGAATTTTTAATCTCCTGCTCCATAAAAGCTAATTCCTTTTTTAATTCTTTATTTCCAGACAAACATTTGTAATGATCCAGGTTTTAGTGAGTTTGTTTAGTTCTGTTTTTCAATTTAAATCAAAAGAGTTATACAAAATTAGGTGTGATTGCCTAATGTATCAAATTGGCCTCAAGCTAAATAAAAAATGACAATTGGACACTTGTGTAACAGAAAACCATAAGGTGTGTACACTTCCTAAAGATTCTTGTCAGGAGTCTTCCTCATCAGTGCCACTAAAGTATGTTCAGAAGTAATCTTAAACAGCTTGCTGGAAAAGCACAGCACCAGTTTTGTATCATATGTTCTTTCAAACTGTGTATATTTATTATAAATCTTTCAAAATTTTAAATATTAAATTCTCCAAATAATCTTATTAAAATTATTTTTAATATTAAATGGACTTCATTTTGTTTCTTTTTACTATAAATTCACTTTAAATAAAATTGAAAATCAACCATAAACAAAAAATATATGTATAATAAGAACTATGTCAATGTTAAGAAATATTTTAATAAAAAGCTTTTTAAAAAACTCAGATAAGTGATAAAGTATGTATATATATTCTGTAAGTAAATATGAATAAAATCAAGAGAACACTTTGGCTTAAAAAATTAGTTGCATTGTTAAAGTTGAAAATAAAAATGTGGATCACGTAAAGGAATTTCCGATTTTGAGACCACAAACTGTTAAGGGAATATAAAAATCAGAGAGTATGAGTATAAAATAGTTATAAAACAGAACTTGAATAAAATATATTAGCTATAAAAACGAATATGAAATAGTAATAAGTCTAGAAAAAACCTTAAACATATATGCCAATATATAAACAGTAAAACTAAAATCAATCATAAGATCGTTGAAATCAAAGATGGATCAAAATTAATAATTTAAATATTATTAATGCACTATATATTTTTTACCAGTTTTTAATAAGATAACTGTTAAACCAATAGTAAATCTGGAAATAAATATTGATATCATTATTAACAAGTATCACAACTCCATTGCCAATTGTTTTTAATCAATCATATTGAAATAGATCAAACTTAAAGCAACAAATTATCATTCTATTTCATTAATGTCTATCATGGCATGCAAAAGTAACGCAAAGTAATTGAGAGTATAATAAGAGACACTATGATGGAACATCTTGTGGAAAATAAATCAATATCAGATTCTCCACATGGTTTATATATGATATATATTATATTAATAACTTTTAGATGTTATGTGATATATATTATATTAATAACTTTTTTTCAGGAATTCAAAATGAAGCCTAAACTGAGCATATACAACACCAGCCACCTAGATAGCAGAAATAAGAGACACTATGATGGAACATCTAGTAGAAAATAAATCAATATCAGATTCTCCACATGGTTTATATATGATATATATTATATTAATAACTTTTAGATGTTATGTGATATATATTATATTAATAACTTTTTTTCAGGAATTCAAAATGAAGCCTAAACTGAGCATATACAACACCAGCCACCTAGATAGCAGAAATAAGAGACACTATGATGGAACATCTTGTAGAAAATAAATCAATATCAGATTCTCCACATGGTTTTATTCGGAATAAAAACTAGTGTAAAGATTTAAAATTAAAATTTTAGATTTTGTTTAAAAATTTTGTTTGTGTTTAAAAAGAATAACAAATAAAACAAGATAAGTTTATAACAATATTTTAAAATTAATAAACTTTTTTTAAACTTTTAAAAAGTTTTTTTTAAAACATGGTTATGGTATGAGCATAAAATTTGTTTGGAATTAACTTTAAGAAAGAAGTAATTATATAATGCTAATAAGTTACCTTTATGAGATTCCTGACTGTAGCCAGTAACTTCAAAGGTATCTGTAAATACAAAAAATTTATGTAAACCAATAAATAAAATTAGCACAAGGTTAACTAGTTAATTACTAATTTGATAAAAAATTTGATAAAAAATTTCTCATTTTTTGATGTTGTTTCATAGAATGATATGCTTTAAACAAAGTTTTTTAATTTTCAATTAAAGTCAATTAGGTTATTGTCTTTTTTAAACTTTTTTTATGTAAACATTTAACATTTAAGTTTAGTAAAATTTATCTAGTTAAAACTTTTAATTAACTCTTGAATCTGAACACAACTAAACAACTATAAATGTGAAGCCCTTATGATATGTTGAGAATTCAAACTCCTAGCTAAAAAAATATGGCACTTCCAAAAAATTTTCCTGTCATTTTTTAATAACTTTTTAGAATTTATTGCTGTTATTGCAACGGAAATTAACCTGGAAAAGAAAGTCAAGATTTAATATTATTTTGTATGGTTTCAAATAGAATTACAAGCATAATTTTGTCTTCAAGATAATGTAAATTAATAAGAATAAAGCAATTTAATAGGGAAAAAAAAGAATACAAAGCTGAGAAGATAGGCTCTATTAGCCTTGAGGTGACTCTAAAAATGAACCATTTAAACTACAAAACAGAAATTATTTATATTGTTAATAAATGAGATTTAATATATTTAACATAATTAATCTGCTTTATGAAAACATCACTTGAAATATAAAATATAAAATGAGTTAAGAGATACAAATTTAAGCGCAGTGCTAGAAAGATTTATGAGTGTTACAATTAATTCAGTTAAAAAATATTTGCTATTTAAGTTTAAAAAAAAAGTTAAAATTTAAAACTCCATTAAACTACAAAAGTTAATAGATGCAATAACAAACATTATTAACAATAAACAATAATAGACATTAATAACAATAAACAATAATAGACATTAATAATAATGAACAACAATAAACATTATTAACAATAAACAAAAATAGACATTATCAATAATAAACAATAATAGACATTAATATTAACAAACAATAATAGACATTATTAATAATAAATAAAAATAGACATTATCAATAATAAACAATAATAGACATAACATTAATAAACAATTATAGACATTATTAATAAACAAAAATAGACATTATCAATAATAAACAATAGTAGACATTATTAATAATAAAAAAGTTATCTTTGTATAAACTACATTCAATTCATTAAAAACATTTTATGTTTTATAATTGCTCAAATGTTTAAATTACTGATTATTTTAATTATTTTAATTATTTGCTTTAAGAAATTGTATTTAACTAAATAGCTTTTTGTTTAAAGAGTATAAGCCAATATTTTTATCAAAATGAGTACTCAAAATAACTATTTAGTTATTTAGTTGTTTGCTTGATCATATTTTTTTAAGATTTTAGAGATAAATTTATAGAGTATTTACAAGATTTTAAATTTTTACTTATGCTCAATTTCTTTTTTAGGTGTTTCAAAAAATGTCTACAATCAAAAGGGGAAAACAATTGCATTGAAATGTTTACCAAGTTTTACAACTTTACTTTTACAACTGCGACTGTCAAAGAACTAAATTCTTTGACAATCATTTTTTTGACAATTTTTTTTAGAGTTGTTGTTGAAAAAAACATCTTTTATAATGATTTAAAAACAATTGAAAGTTTTGAAATGCAATTTGTTCATGATTTTTATCAGTCAAGAAACTAATTTGCTATGTACGCTTGAACTATAAGTAATTTTGTTATATATTTTTTCTTACGTTGATTCGTTTATGATGTTTGTTAATTTATTACGTTTATTCATTTATTTGTTTTTACGTCTTTTCCCTTTTAAATAAAGTTTTTGCTATATTTGACATTTCTCAATACTTATAAGTATTGATTTATATATAAATATAATAGGAAAATAAAAAAATAAATTGTTATTTATTTGTAAAAAATATTATTTGATTAATAAATTTTGTTAATGACGGAATAAGTTAAATAAAAGAATAACATAGTTTCTTTCATAAATGTATTTACCACATTTGATGCATTTATGAAACTGTTTCTTTTATATTGCCGATTTTCCTATGTTAATAGGAATAATGAACATAACAATTATTCCTTTTAAAAATTGTATTTAAAAATTTAAACAAAAGTTTTAAACAGGCTCCAAAAATTTTGTTAAGAAAGTAAATTAACAATGCACTAGCCCACACAATTTTGCAACATTGTTTCATTTTTTTACGTAAAAAACTTGTTAAAAAAAAAAAAATAAATAGCAATTAGTTTTCTCGCTTTCCTGTCCATTGAGTAAAGCTTAGCATGACATTTGAAAAACAAATTTAAAAACTGTCCGTGTTTCTAACGCAATTTATAAAGTATTTCCTCTATATACTGACTGAAAAAAGTTATGAAAAAATTGTATATCAAAAAATATTTTTATTTTTGTAATATTCTTATCTACTTTTTTCATCGACTTGTATCAATTTTGGTGGTGGAAAATAACAAACCCTTTAAAAATAAGAAAATGAAAACAGTAAATATTTAGGTAAATCAATTTCATTTTTTTTATTAAGAAATTTTTTTTAGCTTATTTTATTCAGGTTTTCTATTTCGTAAAGTCTTCGGTTCTTTCCTTCAAGTATTGCTGATTTATTCTCTAGTTTCTTATAGTTTTATTTTGCTGCAAATTCTTAATATGCTTACTTTATACAAAAGTGATCAAGTTGTCTAAAAAAATTACTTTAAGCATGGACGTACAAGGCGTGCAACTGCAGGCACTTCCTGGGAAGACTTGCAAATATGCTCAGTATGGGTTGGACACACCATTTTGGAATCCTTTAATAGACAAAGTTGTCAATGCAAAATCTTTGAATAAAAACAAAATTTCACTCATAATAAAAATAAAACGACTATGAAACTTAAAAACTTAACTTTCATTTTTTTTTTTTAAAGGTTTTTTAATTCAAAAAGTTTTTTTTAACTTTTCAAAAAACTTGTCTTTTGTGATTGATGCCCTATCAACAAAAACTGATTAAAATGAATTTACTCTGGTTAGTTTTTACATTTAGAATTATCTTGGATAAAAACATTTTCACATATATAGAGACTTGTGATTAAATAAAAAAAGTATATTCTTAGCAATGACGGATCTAGCACTCTTGGTGTTGGAGATTCTGCAACACTAAAAGATGCTGGATCTGTTTTCAAACACAATTCAAACTCCAAACATTTGCATGTTTATGTTTATGTCAAATAATGATGCTTTGGAAAAAATTGCGATGATTGGAGGCAGCCCTAAAACTTTATCCCCACACCCCAACCCAAACCTGAGGGCAACAAGTTGATAAAATATTTTTTATACTATTCTCAACTAGACTTTTTTTTATCAATAAATTTAAAGTTTCATGGTATTATCTCTCAGCGTTTTATCCCCTCAATTTAAAGGGGTTACAAATTTTATATGGTCATAATTTTTGAATGCTGAGAGATAATACTATGAAACTTAAAATTTATTGATGAATATAAACCTAGTTGAGGGTAGTACAAAAAACATTTTATCAACTTGTTGCCCTTCACGTTTGTGATGGGAGGGGAGATAAAATTTAAGAGCATTTTTGTTCCCAGACTTCAATCATAGCAATTTTTTTTTTTTTTAATATCCTTCATTTTTATACCATTTTTATTGCATTTACAATGCAAATTATAGGTTTTATTATTTTAAATGAAATCTATAATAATTTTTTTATATCAATAATTTTTTAAAGAGTAGTCTTTCAATTTTTATTTAAGAACTCATTATATATAAGAACATAGATATTAAAATTTAAGAACTCATAAATAATTTATTTCAGAACTTAAAGATGAGAGCAAAAAATGGTCATTCGTAACAAATATTTGGGAGCCATTATTTGTCACCTTTATGAAAGAAACTGCTGTTTGTTACACATAAATATATTTATTTTTTATTATGTTGACTGTTGAAACTAAATAAAAAAGTTGACACCTTTATAAAATTTTGTTTGTTTTATATTGTTTTAACTAGTACATTCAGCACTTTAAGTGTCAAGTTAAACATGGTGAATATGTTATTCTTGGTTATTTCAATTTATCTTCAGCATAAGAAAAGTTAAAAACAGATTCTTTTACTTCAATATTTTCCCATTTCCAACTTGTTGTTGAATATGATCAGCAAAAAAGATAAAAGGTTATCTGCTTCATTGTTTATTAACAGGAAGTGTATAACATTTTTATAGTGTGCATATAAAGTTCCTGTATGAATGCAGTCTTGAATATCTTATTTAGTTTGTTTTTATAGAATTTTTATCAGTTTGTTTTCTAAGAACTCTAAACTGGAAAATAATGTGATAGCCATTAAATCTACTACCAACTTTAAGTCTATTAATTTAAGTTATTTATCAAAAAACAATTTTAAGTAAAACTATGTACAGAATCTGAGAAGTTAGGTCATGTTTATTTGAGACTACTTTCATATTAAAAGATTCAAGTGAACTATATCAGGGCCACAATACTCTAAAAGTAACAAATTTTAGAGAATATTTTGTTTGTTTTTTAAAAAATTTATATAAAAAATTTTAATAGCTTTCTGTAGAACTGTTTGTCAATACTCAGGTAATCAGGCTTGAGGAGTCTAATAGTTTTTTTTACGACTTGGCTCCGGCTCCTAAAAAATATCGGCTCCAAAAAACACTTTTTCTATATATTATTTACCCACAACTAGAGTTTTTAGTTAAAATTTTAGTTCTAGTTTTACCCAGGGAGCACGGTACCTAAAAAACACATCTTTTGAATGCCCCAAAGATGTCCAAAACATTCAAAAGACGTTTAATAGACGTCTTTCTTACATCTTCACTGAGTCCCGTGCCCACTGGGTATTCAGTGGGCGCGGGACTCAGTAAAGAGCATGAATTATCATCAAATTCTTATTGCTGCTTTCTTATCCTTAAAAACACTTTTTCTTCTAGATCCTTGTGCTCATTCGATAGATAGAGAGCTCTTGTATTGTTTTATGACCATACAAACAGCAGTTTTGCTAGACTCAGATGCTTTAGCAGTTGAAAGTAACAATGCAGAAGGATTTTGTAGATAGTTGTGCAGAATTTTTTTTTATTTTTCTAACTGTTTCAATGACATTTTAATTAAGAGAAACATTTAGACTCGTTTATTGGTGTTTTTAATTAATACTAAAATTACTTAATGTAATTACGCAAAAAAAAAAAAAGTTTAATAATGTGTTAGTGACAAGTTTTAAAACGAAATTCATCATTCCAAATTTAACAATTGCATGCTTTAGTATAATTTTAAAGATATGAATAACCTTTGATCATAACATTGCGCATCAAATATTTAACAGCATAAAATCAGTATAAAAATATAATATAAAGCAATATATGTAATACTGTAATGCTTCCATATATAATTTACTTTTTTTTTTTAAATAAAGCATATTAAGAAATATGAAAAATAATAAAAGAAAAAGCTATTAAGGGATAGTATTTTGTTGAGTACAAAATTGTTAAAATAATCATTTTTATTAGGTTTTGGCAAGACCGTAACTGTTAAAAAAAGTATTTCATAAAAAAATAGAAATTCAATAAATAATTCATGCAACAAATTACTTAAACAATAAATAAAGTTTGTCTACAGTAAAAAAAAACAACATACATTCTATTCTTTTACAAAAAACATGAGAGCCAAGAGCCGCTCAATTTTTGCAGCTCGGCTCCACCTAAAACCAGCGAATCCCCAGTTCCCAATCCCCTTAAGGATTGCAACTCATTTTTTAACTACAGAGATTTTCCAGCAGACCTGAAAACCTTAGTTTTTTTAAATCTGTAAATAAATCAACAATTTGTCTTTATAAATAGCAAACGTATTTTTGCCCTTCATGAAAATCTACACAACCTACTTTCAGCCAGACAAGACTATTAAAGATAAATGGGGGGAGAAAGAAAGCAAAAGGTATAAAGTAATGGTTGCAGCTCTTACCTTTTGTTTTACAATCCTTCACTTAAGTTCATCATAAAAATATTTGTTTTTATTCAAAGATTTTGCGTTGACAACTTTGTCTAACAAAGGATTCCAAAATGGTGTGTCCAAGTCAACCTCTAAATTGTATTCAACAACTCCCAAAAAATGCTTTTGACTTCAGTCTTAATTTTTCTGTTAAACCGCCAGGAATCCAGAGAAAAATCATCACAGAGCCTGTGAATAATGGCAGTTAGTTGAGATTTCATGTCAAAGCCATAATATTACCACACAAAATGATGTCCAATATTAATGATCACATTAGTTTTCCTCCAACTTTCTTCACTGTCAATTTGAGCACTTGCATTCCATAAACACAAACCTTTTGAGGTCTTTATTTTGTAAGCTATATTTTAAAAGTGCTTTCTAACATACTTCGTGCTCACAACACTCTCATCAACAAAAAAAATAACCACGTATGTTGAGGTTTCCTCACCTTTATATCTGGTTCAAAAATGGCATTCACTACAGACTTCATAATCATCAGAACTACATTGAATCCAAATCCAAGCTGTCTTAAAACAGACAACTGTTTTTTCTGAAACATCACTATTTGGTATGACCATATTATCTCATCCATTTTAAGCTGAAGATATACTTCACTCAGGTTGACCATTGCAGGTCTGTTACTCATTAGTCTTAGCTACCTCAACTTTGGTGGAAGCGGTGATATTCAATCCCTTACTTTAACTCGATTCAGAGTAGCCTATGTTTTAGGTAACATGTTATGTGACATTTTTCTGTGTCTTGAAATCTCCAAAGCACAATCCAACAACAAATGCCAGCCAGACTGCTATATTTGACAACTTTTCTCAAATACAACAAGCATTTCATATCTGCTAAAAAAATATCCACCTATTCTCCATTCTTCTCTTTGTAAACAACTTGTATGCAAACAACTTGTATTTTATCATATGCCTTTTACTTTTGAATCTTTTTTATAGCTGATTTTATGCCTGGTTAGCTTGTAGATTTTCCATGCTAGAAATATATAAATTAACAGATCTCTTTAGTAAAAAAAAACTGTTCATAAAAAATTTTATTTGAATTTATGCATTATTGTAATCCTCAAATATTGACATTAAATATCACTCAAACATATTAAAAAAAGTTACTAATTTAAAATGTCATAAAAAATATTGCAACATAATTAAAGTAACGTAATTAAATAAATTTCCATTTAAACACAAAACAATTACAAACACAGAATGTCACCAGATTTTTAAGATAATAAAGAAAAATCTTTAAATAGTGCAACAAAACCATTTTTAATGATAAGGCATAATTTCCATAATTAAGACTGCAAAGTTTGCTAGCTTGTTTCAAAAATAAATTTCTTTTCAGAAAAAATACCAATACATTATCATATACTCAAACATTTTTTTTTATTACTTATGTTCTGTAATATGTTTTTTTTCATATAAAAGTAAACCTAATGAGTGAAATCATTATGTTATTATGTAGATTCTTCAAACAAAATAACAATACTGAAAATAGAGATTTAGCCCTACAAAAAAAAGAAAAAAATATCTGATGTAAAATTTTTCGCTAGAATTGGTAGACTATAAACTAAAACTTAGGTATTAGTTAAAAATTTTCATATCTTATAATTCATACTCTTGGTTTACTCAGAAACCACATTTTTGAGATATTTTAGCATAATATTATATTAATATAATATAGCATTAGAGTCCAGAAATGGAAATTATAGCTACTGAATCGAATTGAAGTTTAGGTGTGTTTTTTAAAGTGTCCTATTAAATCCAAAATAAAAACCATCTGTAAACTTGGCAATCTTTATGACACATATTTAACCTACTGAAAAATCTAAAATGTTTGAGTCAAGATAATTTATGAAAATGGACCATATGGGGCCATTTAATGACCCTAATATTAATTGTTGATTACATATTTTTTCACCAAAGCAAATGGCTTATTTTTTTTAGCCTAGTTAAACTTAATGCGGTAGTGGTGTAGTGGTAGAGCGCTCGCTTCATAAACGAGTGGTTCCGTGTTCGATCCCCACCACGTCCCTGGTAGTACCGCGCTTTTTATCTTATTAACAACGGTTTCATTAATAAAAGTCTTTTAAGGTAAAAAAAAAAAAATAGTAGCTGAAAATACTTTTTTTTAAATTAAATTTATTTTCTTGTTATATTTACTAATTCCCAAAAAATATAGCCATTAAAAAAATTTGAAAAAATTTTAACATTTATTTTATTTTTCAATTTTTATTGTAAATTTAATTAAAAACTATTAAGTTACTTTTTTAATAATAAAAACTAATTTAAGTCCTTAAAATAATATTTAAATTTTTCATTAATAAAATGATGTGCAATCAAAAATTACTTTCAAAAGACCTAAGCATAAAATTTGCATGAAAAGCATGAAAGCTTTAAAATATAATTTTTTTTTTTTTAGATTATTTTGTTAGATAACTTTTTTTTTTTAATTGTATATTTGTTTCAAAAATTTATAAAAAAAGTTATAAAACAATGAGAAATACCTTTAATGTTTAACATAAACAGTTTCAAAAACAAAAGGATATATACATATGGAAACAAAAGAAAAAAATATAAAATAAAATAAAAAGCAACAAACCTGAAATATACATTGATTCAAAACCTTTTTTTATCCAATTAGCTACATTACTTTCGTAATATATATTATCTGATTCCTCTGTCGATTTTTTTTCTTCTAATTTCAATTTGTAACATACTCCAAGCATTGCCTGGCCACTACAAACAATTATATCTTTAGAAGGAAGCTTTTCAGTTGGAATTGTGTGTAATAGATTAGAGTAAACCATTATTGTTTTATATTTACTTGGCGCAGTAAAATACTGAGAAACACAAAACCTTCGGAGACTAAAATTTAAATTAAAAAAAAAATTATTTTAATTAAATGCTGATAAATTTTATAAAGAGTTTTAATTAAATAACTTAGATGGCTAAAATAAACATTTGATAATTGAAAAAAATATTCTTGCAGTGAATTTTCTGTAAGAGAGGTTGCTTGATTTAAACCCTGCCCACATATCTGGTAGTATTGTGTACAAATACTTATTTGCTAAACATTATTTTTGTAGTAGCCTTACTAGTCAAGCATAATGTTTTGCAATTAAAGAATGAAAAGTTGATAGTGAGGAAAAGCAGCCTCCTATTAAGTCTAATCCTCCTTCAAATCAGATATATTTAAATACCTCTTTAAATAACTTTAAAAAGTATTTGAATGAATTTTAACTTCCATTGTAATTTGGGAATACCAACATTGTGATAATGATTATTTTAAAGTAATTTTTTTTTTTTAAATCTTTTAATAAATTTACCAGATACTGTAAGTCCCAATCTGTCACAGAGAAAAGATAACACTTAAGGTTGGCTGTCTAAGTAGTCTAAATATGATGGCTATCAAGACTGGATATGATTCTATCATCAGAAACCACCCAGCAAGATTATCAAGCAGATTATTAATATAGATGAGAAACAACATGGCACAAGAAAAAATTTTTTTTTTCATTGCTTATCAAAGCCTTTGATTTTAGAGAAAATGGTTCTAGCATTTCTGCTTCTATGCCTTTCTGTTATTACCAATTCTAAAATTCTAAACCAATTACCAAGTAACAATTCATCAGTAGAATAAGAGAAAATCTAATTGTCAGAGAGTAAGATAGTGAACTCTAAAAAATACTAAGAATTTGTTAATCAAAGAACAAAATACTTAGTTTATAAAAGAATAACAAAAGATTGATTGGATGTTAAAAGGTGCCAGAGCAATCTCCAGAACTTTTAAAAAAGGTCACAGATGCCCTTTTTCTAGCAGACAGGGAAACAAGGTTCAGTTAAGCATTTGTTGAATAGTTTAGGAAACTTTTGTGAGACTGTGACAGAATGTTGTCACAATTGCTACTTGTTTAAAAATAACTTGTGTACATTCTACTTTCATACTGGAAAATTGCTGTAAACAAATTGACAACAATATTGCACTTGAACAGACCATATAATTTTTACAATAACCCTCGAAATGGTTTAATCAAAGTATTAAATTTTTTATTTAAATTCAATTTACTTTTTAGTTTAGATTAGACTTAAATTTTTTAGAACAAGTAATACAAAATGAAAAGAATAAACAGTTCCAAAATTAAAAACATTTTTGTAATAACAATATTATGAAATATTTTTAGCTTGTGTAACTTTAAATTATGACCTCAAGTATATATAACTTTAGGTATATATTTCATATTTATATTTCAAATCAGCAGTAATTCTTAAGTTTCTCCACATCAAAAAGCATTTTACATGGGTTTACATTGTTTTATTTCAAAACTTTCTCAAAACAGAATAAGAGCTATAGACAACTTTTAAAGTTAATCTAAGGTAGTTTTTTTGAGCAAGGGTTCTTGAAAAAAAAATTATTTTAAATGTATTTAACTAGATAATTTTGAAAGTTGAATGACCTTTGGACACCAGACATTGTTTTTCAAGCATTTAACTATATAAATATTTTGAAAAAACATAGAAAAAAACGTATAACTACCCAGTGCTTAGACTTTGACATAATCGATTTAAAGAGTAATTAAACATTAGACTTTTTGAAAGTATCTAATAATTTAGAATAAAGGCAACATTTATGCACTATAATGATTGATAAAGTATACTGCAACATTTTATAATGGAAAAATTAGGCTATGTTAACGATGACACAGAGAAGCTTGCCAAAACCCATCTTGCTGTAATGGTTACATAATGATTTGCAGTTCAACATTTATTGTTAGTATGATACCATTATGTAAATTAAATTTAGATTTCCAATAGAGTTTCTATTCTCTTTTTTGGCAACTTTTAGCAAATAAATATTGATGCACACACATGAAAGTTTATCTAAAATATACCTTTAGTACTAAAATTAATTTATTTAAGTCATTTTTATGCTTCCAAAAGTTACGGTTTTTCTGATTGTCACATGATATAAAAAGTATCATTGAAAAAAGTTATTTTAACCATTAACTTATTTGCATAATCAGAAATAATTTAGAGAATTAAACAAACCAAAGATTTTCTTATTTAAATTTATTTAGCAGTTTATTGAGAGAATTTCAAGAGAATTATTGCAAGAAAACTATTGATGTATTAAAATATAATACTAGATAGATATAATATAATATTTATATATATATATATATATATATATATATATATATATATATATATATATATATATATATATATATATATATATATATATATATATATATATATATATAATATATATATATGTTTATATATATATATGTATATATATATATATATATATATATATATATATATATATATATGTATATATATATACATGTATATATATATATATATATATATATATATATATATATATATATATATATATATATATATATATATATATATATATATATAATTAAAAGTTGCAAATAATAAAGAAAGAACTTAATAAGCGCAAGGCTTCTGCTGCATTAGAATACTTAACGCTTTTAACAGGACACATTTCACTTGTTCATCTTCATTCTTAGATAAAAATCTTAACTTGCTGCGTTCATTTTTTTAAATTCAAGCACATAAAACTAAATAGAAATTTATTAGAAATTTTATAAAAGTTTCGACTTAAAACCTTATAAAATAAAAAAAAAAGAAATTTTAAAAATATCTTCCTTTAAACACAATTAAAATAATTGTAAAGCTAAAAAAGAAGTTAACAAAATGTCATTTTTTGCGCATTTTATAACTTTATAAGTTTATATAATTTTATATATAACTTAATGTCTTTTATAAATAATTTATATAAATAATATATATTATATATAATTTATATAACTTCATATCCTAAATATAACTTAAAGATTTTTTATAATTTTTAAAATTTTGCAAAAACGAAATTCTTGCACCCATTTACTTCTTTGTCTTAGGGCAAAAGTGTGAAAGAGGGGTACTACAACCAAAGTTATTTTCTTAGAATAGCTTCTGATGGTCATTACCTCTTTACCGCAGAGCAAATATAGAAGTAAAATTGTTAGTAAATAAATAAGTAAAATTTTTAATAATTTTTTTTTAAATCTGTCG